GGAGAGAGGATCTAACCCAGTTGGGGAAGGCCTGACTCCAGTCCTCGGACCTACCCCACTGGACCTCCATTACATGGGTATGGGGAGGGACTCTCTCTCTCTCTCTCTCTCTCTCTCTCTCGCTTACTCTCACACTCTCTAACTCCTGCCCATGCACTCACCCTCTCACACTCACATATACACGCACATACACTTAAAACACACATTCTCTCACTCCCACTCACTCACTCTCTCTCACACACTCATTACACTAAAACACACACACATCTTATACATACACAGACACACACTCCCCCACACTAGCAATAAACTAGTGCACATTCTGCCACAAGCCATATATACATCATACCACCCTACACAGAATTTTCACTCTCCCCCCACAACGAAATGTACCCCTGCTCCTATGAGAATATTTACCACCAACCAGCAATGGCAACAAGCATAACCCACTACACCATACACAAAGTACCAGCAGCCAGTTCCTCTCCCCACCTAACGCGCACACACACACACACACACACACACACACAAACACACACACACACACACACACACACACAAACACACACACACAAGTGGATGCCCACAGCTCACAAACTCCCCACTGCCAGACCACCCCGCCTGCATTCAAACACCCACTCTCCCACACTCCACAGCTTCCCCCATGTCCCCTCCAATAGCCAATTACCACGTACCCAGCATCAACATAACCCCTCCCACCCAGATCACTTACATCCTCTCCTTGGTCCACCCCCCCCTCCCCACACTCGTAACCCAAAACTTCCGCAGGCCCAATGACTGCCCCACCCTCACCACCCAGATGCACCTACATTATGGAGCATTGGCCGCAGGGGCATGGCCGACGGTCCACTGCACGCCACTGAGCATGTGGAAAGGTCCCAGGCTACACGTGCTGGAAATGACACTAGCACCCGAAATCCCCAGCAAGCATCGCTACATGCTGATACTTCCTGACAANAGCATGTGGAAAGGTCCCAGGCTACACGTGCTGGAAATGACACTAGCACCCGAAATCCCCAGCAAGCATCGCTACATGCTGATACTTCCTGACAAACACATCATCCCGCCACAGGCATCGAAAAACCCCAACTTCCCGCCACAGGCATCGAAAAACCCCAACTCCCCACTGCCAGACCACCCCGCCTGCATTCAAACACCCACTCTCCCACACTCCACAGCTTCCCCCATTGTCCCCTCCAATAGCCAATTACCACGTACCCAGCATCAACATAACCCCTCCCACCCAGATCACTTACATCCTCTCCTTGGTCCGCCCCGCCCTCGCCACACTCGTAACCCAAAACTTCCACAGGCCCAATGACTGCCCCACCCTCACCACCCAGATGCACCTACATTATGGAGCATTGGCCGCAGGGGCATGGCCGACGGTCCACTACACGCCACTGCACGCCACTAAGCACTGTTTGAGGAGGCTGCAGGGTGAAAAGAAAAGAGAGAAAAAAAAGCCCAACGGATGGACTGAAATTGTGTGGTGTCAGCTGGGACCTTGTCCCACTTTCACCCTTTAGTTGAGGCAACTCAACGGTGCGACAGCTGAAAACATTCATTCTAATTCAATTTCAAATGAGAAATGCATTTATAAATGACACAGATACAATTGTTCTGGTTTTTCTTTTTTCACAATTGGAGTGGCATACGGGCACTTACACAGCAGAAAATGAAAATGAAGAGTTGCCAGAATCCCTTTTGTACAAAAATGGCAAACGGAAGGAGGCTCGTACAGTTTCTCTAAAAAAACGCCCTTCGGGGGAACAAGAGGGTAGCTCGACGGAAAGCGGCGAGGGTAGGGGGAGTAGTATTCGAGAGAAAGGATTTACTTCTGCTTTTTGTTGTAAGAAAAGAAAAAGCAACGATAGTCTCTATTTCTTTTTTTTATTAAAAACGGACCGCTAGATGACTTCAGCGACGTGCATCTCCGTTGTCACGTACAGTCACACAGCATCGAAAACCAAACATTGACCTCGCTCAACAGAACTAGTGGGACATGGCGCTTGCACCGTTGAGTTAGCTCAACGTTGAGATTTCTATCACGTGAGACACAGCACGACCTCAGAGACTCAAAACCGTAGGAGAATCCGTCGGTTCTTCATTTTTCGGCAAAGCCACGCAGTTGTTGTTTCGTTAATTTATAACATAACCTCATTTCTAAAAAAACTCGAATATAAAGCCCCCTCCCCTCGTGTCCTAGCATTGAGCTAGCTGCCTTTCTATTTTTGCGTTGTATCCAGTTCATCTTTCATTGACTTTTGACGTTTCAGTCATCCGTTATCCGCGCTTTCTTTAGCTTTTTTTAATCTGCGATTAATGGGAATGTTCGAGAGAGAGAGAGAGAGAGAAGACCTTTCCTCAAAGCCTGAATCTGGACATGTTCGTGGAGATATGATTGAGGAAACTCAACGTGACTTCTGCACATCTCCACGAACACATCCAGATTCAGGCGTTCAGGCAACGCTGCTCGTGGGACTTGGCACACGGATCGATTTGCTACACCAGAAAGAAAACGAAAACTCCAAAGAAATGTGTAGGTGGGAAAAACAAACAAACAAACAAATGCATTCTCTTTTCTACACAAAACAAAAGACAAAACATGTCACACCGTTGAGCTAGCTCAACTAAAGGGTGCAAGTGGGACAAGGTCACCCTGGGGGCACGGTTCCACTAGCACACGAGTCATGGCTTATTTGGACCTGTGCGGCACTGTAAGAAAAGGAAGAAAAGTAATTTCAAAGACTTCAAAAAAAATAAAAAAATGGAAACGTTACATTTCCCAAGAGATGCGAAGGAGGCAGACTTTTGAAAGTGCTGCTGTCCCACTAGCCCTCCCGTCTCCTCCCCCTGCTCCCCACCCAGCCAATGCCTAATCAGGACAGAGTGATACCTGACTGTTGCAGTCTCGCATACCACCGTGAGGGAGTCCCTTCATGTGCCTGATGGGACTCCCTTCTCTGACAGTTGCCATGCTGAAGCATGCATTTCGTATATTTTGTGAGAAAATCGAAGTACCGGATGGGGTTAACAATTGACCCGGAAAAAGAAGGGGGTCAAAATTATGCCCTTCGAGTACTTGATTTTTTTAAATCTTTTGAAGAGCTGCCAATCAAAATGAGTCTTTCTATTTTCTTTTCCCGCCTCCCATTCTTGGGAACTGGAAAGAAAAAGCACAAAAAGGAAAAAAAAAAACACCACTTCAGAATATAAATCCCTCGCAATTTCGCTGCCATCCGATTCTCCTGAGTCCTGAATCAGTGGTCAGACGATGTCCTGCAGATGTCCCCAAGGTGTTTTGTGGGACACAGTTTACCTTACTCCTCTGCTAGTGGAACCGTGCTCTGGGGATAGGGGAAAAAGAAAAAGCCGGGGATAGCAAAAAAAGAAAAAGCCCAACAGAGACTTTTAGACACCTGTTTTTTTTTTTTTTCTCGAAACAGAAACAACTCATAACCGGTGCATGTTCTTTTTAGACACCTGATTTCTTTGTCGGTGCATGTTCTTTTTCCCTTTACAAATTCAAAACCTGCCGCGTCCACCATTGTTTATCTTTTTTTTTAGCGGGTACCATCAGGACCGAACTTCTCGAATGGGCCAGTTGCTGTGCCTCCCCTCCGGTGCCCTCCCCATACGAACATCAGCAGTCTCTGCTCAATGCGGCTCGGGGAACCAACGGCCTATCTCTAGGTGGCAGGCACCACGCTTGCTGGAAGGTACATCAGCCCAATGGGGATTGAACCCAAGGCCTCCTGAATGCCACTTGCATGCCTACCAACTGCGCTAGGCCACTGTCCCGGGGGTCACATCAATACTAAAATAACAATAGAAAAAAGGGCTGAAAGGCCGTCCTGTCCAGATTCAACAGGTAATTGAATTGGCTGGGCTTGAAGAATTAGCCTTAATAATAATAATAATAATAATAATAATAATAATAATAAAATCTGTCAAAGAACAACAAAAAACACTTCTTTTTCTTTTTTTAGGCCCAGTCTGGCCAGTGGTCCCGAGTCACTCTCCTAGCCTACCCAGCCAGGAACAGTATAAAATGCCGCACGACAGATATCTCAACCATTGAGACTGGACTGCATAATGGAGAGCAATACATCCTCTCTCACTCGAGGTAGGGTGGAGAGAGGTAGCGGTTAGGATGGAAGAAGGGGCAGTAGGGATAGGAGGACGGTTGAACAATCACGGTAGGAAAAAAAAATAATTAAAAAAAAATCAGAAATAGAAACTTTCAAAGACTTGCATTGCAGATGACACATCATCAAACGACAAACATCCTTCGGCAGTGAGCCCACAAAGAGTCAAAACATCATCACACAATCGACTGTGGAAAAACAGGGCTCCCCTGGGGGCCTGGATGAAGCATGACAGATACCTCCCTACGCAGAGCTATACAATGTCATCTTCTCTCACTCAAGGTAGGGGTGGAGGAAACTGGAAGGAGGAAAATGTACGGGGGGTAGGAGGCAGGGTAGGATGGACGCCCGGAGGTATGGAGGAGTTATCGAGGTATGTAGGGGAGGATGAAAGGAGGGGAGGGAGGGAGGGAGGAAAGTAGAGAGAGAACATTGTGACTTGATGCGGAAAACTCCAATGCCAACATGCTTCAGGAAGCTACGTTCCGACAGCAGCAGGAGGAAAGGAGGGAGCGAGCGAGGGAGGGAGGGGGGGAAGAAGATAGAGAGAGAGAACATTGGTGTAGGGAGGGAGGAAGGTAGAGAGAGAAGGTATGGAGGAGTTATCGAGGTATGTAGGGAAGGATGAATGGAGGGGAGGGAGGGAGGGAGGAAAGTAGAGAGAGAACATTGTGTCTTGATGCGGAAAACTCCAATGCCAACATGCTTCAGGAAGCTAAGTTCCGACAGCAGCAGGAGGAAGGGAGGGAGCGAGGGAGGGAGGGAGGGGGGGAAGAAGATAGAGAGAGAGAACATTGGTGTAGGGAGGGAGGAAGATAGAGAGAGAACCTTGCTGTAGGTATACCCACCCTATGGAGCTTGACGCGGAAAACTCCCATGCCAACATGCTTCAGGAGGCCAAGTTTCGACTGATCCACAGCTGAAAACCACCCATCCACGTTTGAAAAATCAGGCGTGCTCCTTTCGACATTGTACGGCCCTTCAAGATCCATACCAAAGAAAGACGCTTCGCCCATGCCGTTAAGCAATTTCTCTTGCTGCCGCTTTTTCTCTGACTGGACACTTCCTCTGTCACTGGCTGGATAATGCTGATCACCACGCTCATCTCCTCCTCCTCCTCCTCTCCTTCCTGCTGCTGTTACTCTTCTCCCATTTCCACCAATTCCCCCTCCGCAGCATCGTTCGAAAAGACGGAGGAAAGGTCTGATTAGCCAATCAAACCACACCTCCCCGACGTCAGATACAGAGTTCAAGTCCGTCAACAACAGGTTAATCCCGCCTGCCTCCGTCGAGAGTCCTGCTGCTGCTGTTCGTGAAGGTTTGCCTGCAGACTGATGCTCGACTTCCATCTCCTTCTTCAGGGGGGTGCTAAAAATATCCGAACCATCAGGAGGGAGCCCATCCGGGAAAAAAACGATCCCCCCTTCGCGCTGAGAAGACAGGATTGCATCCACTTCGTCCTCAGAGAAATTGAGCGATTTCCGGAGTATGTCTCTGTCGAATCCTCCAAGCACAGTCGGTGGGAATTTCCCACCTCCGACATAGAAAACCTACCAACAGAATACAATCAAGCAATTCACTCGAGCAATACATTTAATCAAGCAATTCACTCGAGCAATACATTTAATTAATCAGTGGAACGATAAAAAAAGAATTACTCTAACATAGGAAAACGCCTTTTCAAAAAAATCGGGAGATGGAGATCTGATGGATGGCGAACCAAAAACGAGCGAATTTGCCAAAACAAATACTGACAGGAATGCTGAAAACGTCAAACTTTAGACAGAGAATCAATCAATTCAATCAAGCAATTCATTACCCAAAAAACAGTGAAACAATCAAAGAGTTACTCAGAACGAAGGAAAACGGGAGATGGAAATCTGATAGATGATTCAACTTCGGAAAAAAATCTGAAAAATATAAATTTTTGTGAAAGTGCCTGGCGAAGAAACGATTTCGCCAAAAGAAGTAACAATCAAGAATGCTGAAAACGTCAAAGAGAGAACCACTCGATTGATCGGTCGATCGATGAATAAGGCAATCAAGAAATCAATCAGTGGAACATTCAGCATAGAATGTGACTCGAAAGGTCACCAAAACTCTAGCAAATTCGATCCTTGAGAATTAATCACCGACTCGCAAAAGGTAACAAATAAGCATTCAGCGAGCACACATACGAATTTTATAACCATGGAAATTGCATCAGTCAGCAAACAAACCAATCGCTAACCTGCAAACCACAAATCAATCCACCAAGAACAAGCCACGCAGCACACACAACTAACCAACCATCATGGAAATTTACTTTGCACCAATCAGCAAAGCAATCAACATTGGTTGATTCAGCAAATCGCCACCACAAATCAATCAAACAAAAACAAACCCACGCAGCGAGTTTCAACCTCCCTAAAGCCTCAGGCAATTTAAATATACTGCCAAATGGGTTCTGAGAACCAATCAATGGATCGCTCAGGCAGCCAACCAACCAATTATTAACTTAAAGGAGGAACCAATCAGTGATTGCAGCCAGCAGCGAGCTACAACTTCACAATCGTCACCCCTCGAATAGGCCACCTGGTCATTAAAGCCGTATTTCGGGCCACTTTCAGCCTATATACATCGAAAATCACTGGGTCTTCTATTCGGTCTATAATATAAACGCCGAAAATGACAGGACTAGTATTCGGTCTATAAACATCGAAAAACCAGGCGTTCTATTCGGGGGGTAAAAAAAAGACGGTAAAACCAACGCCCATGGAGGAAAAGGACGTACAAAGGGATGCCGAAGGGGTGAAGACGGTACTCTCCAACTCCCATGCAGATGACTTCTCCGAAACACCGAGCGCTGAGGCATAATAATCCCCATCACCTCAATAGTAAATCGACAACGAAACTCTTATGCATGCATCAACAACCCAAATTCCTTGCTGTTTGCTCATCGATCATTCAAAAATAAATCAACCAAAAATGTATCAATCAAGTTATATCAACCAATCGCGAAGCTTCCATCAACTGACAGCAACATCTCACCATCACACCACACAAACAACGGCGCGCAAGAGCAGGTGCAAGGTCTCCCAAGGAGACAGAGAGGATCCTCGTCAGCGGGTACCGCAGCAGCTAATGATCATATGACAATCAACAGCGCAAGCACTGCCAAGCAGCAGAAAAGAAAAAAAAAAAAGGTGACAACTCGAAGAGACCTCGAAGAAAGTAGTAACCCATGAACTACACCAAGGGTCACACCGCTGCCATAGCCAAGCTAGCTATGGCGTCATCCTCCACCATACAGATGCTAAAGAAAAAAGGTTACAACTCGAACAGACCTCGAAGAAAGTCGTAACCCATCAACCACACGAAGGGTCACACCGCCATAGCCATGCTAGGCATTGCTAGCCATAGCCAAGCTAGCTATAGCGTTATCCTCCAGCATACAGATAACTACAAATAGTGAGCACACAGGCGAGGGCGCCGGCCCTCTCTGGCGATCTCCACCCAGTTTCGGCCAGTGCCAGATCCAAGTCCACGCCTCATCAGGGGGAAAACGACCCTCCGACGTGTCCACAAGTGTAGTCAAAGGGTGCTAACAATAGCTAAGAACACCCACCCTCGGGCGCCGGCACTCTCTGGCGATCTCCACCCAGTTTCGGCCAGGGCCAGATCCAAGTCCAAGCCTCATCAGGGGGAAAAAGACCCTTCGACGTGTCCAAAAGTGTAGTCAAAGGCTGCTAAGAATAGCTAAGAACAAAAATATATAACCAATAAAAATTCATAACAATAGCCGAGGAAAAAATCAATCCTTCGGGGAACAAAATTTCTGCATCAGCCTGTAAATCCACCAGTTACCAAGTCGAGTTGCTACATCAGCCTATCAATCAATCACTCGATCAATCAATCACTCAATCACTCAATCACTCGATCACTCAATCAATCAATCACAGAGCGAGAAATCATTCCAACGGTTCCGATTGCTCGACAACGGATAATCAATCAGTCGATCACATACTTATAAGACTAGAGTAGCCAACTTCTATCAGTCGACATCATCCGAAGAAATCGTTCACTTATCATCTTCCGGACTATAAGTAAAGAGGACCGAGCGTAAATTAAAGAGAATAAATCATTGACAGTCAGTTTTCTTCTGCCAATCCGGTGATCGAGTCCACAATCGCATGCAGGACTACATAGGTAACGATGAGCGGATTGGCAGAAGAAAACTGACCGTCCGTCTTCGCCCAAATACAATGTAACGTACGGTCAGTATGGGTGTATGTGGACTGAAGGGTTGCCCACATACAAACTTCACCGACCGCGCGTTATATTTAGGCAAAAGACTGTCCCCGAATAGAACACAATGACGATGTGTTATATTAGGCGGACGACTTTCCCCGAATAGAACACATATTACAACGGTAGTTATATCCATGCATATCGACTGAAACTTGCCCCACATGCAGCTATAATACCGTGCGCGTTATACTCGGGCGGAAGACGGGTACAATGACCGAGTGCTGTATATTAGGCGGAAGACTTACCCCTGGGCTAGGTCCCACTTATTACACGAATTAAGCAATATTGACCGTAGATAGCAAAGATCAACGGCCAGATTCTCTTAATCCGTGCAAGTGGGACCTTGGACCCCGAATAGAACATACTACGGTGGTTACCCCTGCATGAATACTGAAAGTTCCCCCACGTAAAGCTATAATATCGTGCGTTAAATTCGGGGACAGTATATAGTATCCATCCGCTAACACGCAAGCAAGGAAGCAATTGCACATGAAACAATGAAAAGTCAACACACAACTTTTTTCGGTTTAAAGTCGATATAATTATTGGAAAATCTAGAAAAAAGGTGCTCGAAATACCAGATCAGCGACGAGGTCCGACTACCGTCTTCACCCGAAGAGAACGGCCGGTCATTATAACCGGCGCGTATCTGGGGGAAATTTCAGTCTAGATGCAGCCATGATGACCGGGCGTTCTATACGGGTGAAGACGGTAGCAAGGATTGGATTCAGCAGCTGAATCGCAACGTGTCTTATGCAGAGATGCATAGGCGCAGATCAATCGCGATTTTCTGCACCTGCCCACAAACATGTCCAGATTCGCCCCAGCGTTGGGGTGGAGGAGGTTCGAACTCTGCAAGATGACAGGGCCGCGCTTGTATTCAATGGTACATCCTACGCTTGCAGATGGTTGTGAACGGGTCACTTACATTTTTTTTTTTCTGTTGTTCTTACAGGGTCAAACATGTCCAGATTCACCTCAGCGTTAAGGTGGAGGAGGTTCGAACTCTGCAAGACGACAGGGGCGCGCTTGTTGTTATTACAGGGTCAAACATGTTCTTACAGGGTCAAACATGTCCAGATTCGCCTCAGCGTTGAGGTGGAGGAGGTTCGAACTCCGCAAGATGACAGGGGCGCGCGCGCTTGTATGCAATGGTACATCCGACGCTTGCAGATGGTTGTGAATGGGTCGCTCTCATTGTTTTTTTTCTGTTGTTATTACAGGGTCACTTGCATAGTTGATTTATTCTCTTCAATTTACGCTCGGCCGGTTTCCAGCATTTCAAATAAATGGATTTCTTTTCTGCTTTTTCTTTTCTTTTTTCAATAAAGCAAATCAACTCTATATCAATCCAAGAGGGTCTAGCCACACCAGTGCCCAAACGCTAACATTTCGAACACATCAGGACCATAACAGGTCCAGATACACCAATCACCGAAAGCTAACATTTCGAATGCATCAGGACCATAACAGGTCCTGATACATTTGAAATGTCGGCGTGAATGAATGGTCCGGCGAGGCCTCGAATAACACTTACAAATGTCTAGCAAAAGCCTGGGCTACCAGCCGGGCCGTGCAAGGGCCACGGAAGGTCCCAGCAAAACAAACAAGGAGAAAGACAAAAATCGCCGATTGCTCTTCTTCACACGCAATTCACAGAATATTACAGCCAAGAATATACAAGCGTGTACTCGTGGTCGAAAACGCGCACGCGTTCCCCTACATGTTTCAACCGGGTGCGCTCCGGTCTCATCAGGAGGCTAACCACTTGCCCAGTGCCGTACAGCCCCCCCAGCACTGGTTACGCAAAAAAACCAGCAAAAAAAAAAAACTAAAAAGAACTATCTTACGCAGAAAGATACAATGAACAACTCTTGCCTCAAGGTCACATCGAAATTCTTTACCAAATTAAGTTCAAAAATATTTTTCACTTTTTCAGTTTTTTTGGGGAGGGACGACCGGGCAAGTGGTCCCGACTCCCGGGCCACTCTGGTAGCCCAGGCAGAAACCCTATTAGTAGCTCACCACTTAACATAGCTAACTAATCTTTAAACTTGATTCATACATTATTAATTCTCTCCCCTTCAGTCTTTATTAATATATTACTGATTCCCCCCCAACGCCCCCCTTGTGCAATACATCCAATCAAGTACATATATCGGAAAGTCCTGCGGGGACGTCCCACTACCAAGGGTATTGGATATGACGCCGCATGTGGAGGTGATTAGGAGAGGTGCACAAAGTCACTTTCGATCTGCTTTTCTGCATCTGGGCTTAGTAATCCAGATTCAGGTACTTCGTTCGCCCCGTTGAGTGTATGTGTGTGTGTGTGTGTGTGTGTGTGTGTGTGTGTGTGTGTGTGTGAGAGAGAGAGAGAGAGAGAGAGAGAGAGAGAGAGAGAGAGACGTACCTCGTAGTTTTCAGTGGAGATGTCCCCGACGACAGTCGACATTCCTAAGATTTTGAACGAGTCAGTCTTGGCTGTGTTGAGAAAGAAGAAAAACTGTCCAGCCGGGACGCCGTATACATCTCCCCTTTCCAGCGTCCTTTTGTAGTGTGTGGCCCCATGGTGAAACTCCAGTCGCCCCGTTCCTGCATGCATGCATGCATGGGCAGTCAAACTGTCACAGTCAACAGCGCAATTTTCCGACCGCGAGCATGCGAAGTCAAACCGTCACAGTCCACACCGCAAAATTTCTGACGCCGAAATGCGTGTGCCGTCCTTCGGGACATCCGTTTAAAAARATTGGGAACCGAAAAAAAAAAAAAAAAAAAAAGATTGGAAAAATACAGAGAAAGAAGACTGGCACGGCCCCTGCAGGAAGGATGAGGTGCATACAGCGAACAATGGTCCAATTTTCTTTTTCTTATTTTAAGAACATGATAAACAGAAAAAGATGCGTATAACTCGACCTTGGAAACGGATACGGCTAAACTATCGGGGGCCAAGTCCCACTTACCCGAATTCTCAACTTCTGACCGTAGATCACCAAGATCAACGGCCAAAAATGAAGAATCAGCGAAAGTGGGACTTGGCCCCGGGAAAACCACGATTTCAGGAAAGGGGGGGGGGAAAGAAATAAGGAACACAATTTG